TGAGTGGGGAGGAAGTGTTGGTGGGAAAATGGAGACAACTGTATTAGAAAAACAATAAAAAATGATTAAATAGAATAAATAAAGAACAAACTGATAGTAACCAAATGGTAGGTGAGAAGGGATAATGGGGGTGGGGAAATAGGGAAGGGTCATCAAGAAACATGTATAAAGGACATATGGACAAAGACAAAGGTGGGTAGGTTTGAGTATGGGAGGTGGGTATAGGTAGAGCAGGGGGGAGTGGTAAGAGGAAAATGGAGACAACCACACTTGAACAATAAGAAAATGTCAAAAATAAAATAAAACCAGAGGGGAGAGGGAAGAGGGGAGGGAATTTCAGCGGGGAAGGGGAAGGGTTTACAGGAGCAAGTATAAAGGACACATGGACAAAAACCACAGGGGGTTAAAATGGGAAGGAGGTGGGGAGGACTGGGGGGTGGTCTGGAATGGGAATAAAAGACAGAAAACTGTATTTGAACAATTAAAATAAAAAAAGATAAAATTTTTTTTCATAACTGCAAAATACTTGTATTTTAAAACAACAATAACAAACTTACAAAGTATAATTATTGTATTATAAGACACTGATATAATATACATTTATATTATATTATAATATTTTTTAAAGATTTTGTCAGATATTTAGTATAGAGCCTCAGGAATGTCCAAGATTCTTGATTGTTATTAATCTTAATATTAACACAACTGTGTTTATAATTCTTCCAATTTCTAAATTAAACACTATTCTTGTTTTCCTTCACATCGTGTCTGATTTTGGAAACATATGAAAACAAATTAATATAAGGAAATTGATATGGCTCTTCTGGAATGTACTATATTCTTTTTTTTTCTCATTTGAAGTACCTCTCAAAGGAGTATAGAAATGAAAAGACTGAATTTATCTTAGAATTGGCAGTCCTGTTCTTGGTTTGGCTCTATCACCAGAGGTGGGGTAAAGAATATTACAGCTGCAAACTGATTTACCTGACACTGACCCCAAAGTAGGTAATAATCTGTAAACTTCAGAACACTGGTCTTAGAATAATTGCTGACCAGTTCTGACTCTGACACTCATTTGCTAACTCTAAATGCCTTGATGTCCTCCTCTGGAAAATGAGAAAAACACAAGCTCTGAATCCTCATGCAGTTCACACAACCCACACTAGGAAGACAAATAATTGAATTACTAAATGGACAAAGGACCTGAATATCACTTCTCCAAGGAGGACATACAGAGGGTCTAGACACATGTAAAGATGCTCAGTATCGCTAGCTATTAGAGAGATGCAAATTAAAGTAACACTGAGATATCACATCAAACCAGTCAGAATGACCATCATAAACAAATCAACAAACAATAAGTTTTGGCAAGGTTGGGCAGAAAAGGGGTCACCCACGAGAGACCTGGTTGCTTAAAGTGGCAGAGAGGGTATCACCCGCAGAGTCTGTGGATGCCAGCTTGGAAGAGTTGAGTGAGAGTCATGCAGTCATGAGCACTGCCTCAGATAATCACTGGTCTGGCTGGAGAATTGGGTTGTACAAAGCTACAGGCTTGAGTGGAAGCAATTTCCCAAGAAGAAGAAGTGTTTGGGGAATACTCTGGCATCAGCCACTCGGCCTCCTCCCCAACCAGCAGGGCAGTGATTCCAAGGTGGCGAGGTGGCTGGGAAGTTTGCTTGGAAGGCCCTGCGCACCTCCGTACTGTTAGGAAGGGGGCGTGCCCGAGCCCTCGGAGCCTGACCAAGTGAGCATGCACTGCACCCTAGTCCAGCAGTAACCCCTGGGGAAAGAGCACTCTCAGGAAGACCTGGGTCCTACATCCAAGGCTCCAGGGGAGATGTGTCAGACCAGCTCTGGGGAGAGTGGGCACAAGACTGGCTCAGTGCAGAATGGGAGGGGAGAAAAGCCATACCAATCGCCCCTCAGCCAGCAAGACCAGAAAAACCGGTTTGCGGTTTGGCCAGTTTGAAACCAACAAGAGGTGGTGGGGGGGGGGGGGTTGTTTCGTTTTGGGTTTTTTGTTTTTGATTTTTTAGAAATCTTTTATTTTTTTTTAATTTTTATTATTGTTTTATCTTTCAGTACCGTCTTCCTCTCTTTTATTCTTCCTTTCTAATTTTATCTCTTCTTCCTCCCTTCTTCTATCTTTTTTTTAATACCCACAAGTGAGACCAAAAAAAAAAAAAAAACCAACAAACAAACCCTGAAACTGTGAAAAGACCACAGTTGGACCCAAAGAGGGAACAACACAACAGTTGAGACAGTGGGACAAAATTCACTTTGTTATTACAGAGAACCTGCAAGTTATTGCATATTTGTATTATTAATTTTTTTCATTATTCTTACATCTTTTATTTATTTTTTAAAACATTGTATTTATTTATTTTTAGAGAGAGAGGAAGAAAGAGAGGGAGAGAAATATCAATGTCTGGTTGCCTCTCATGTGGCCCTCACTAGGGACTTTGCCCACAACCCAGGCATGAGCCCTGATTGGGAATCAAACCTGCAACTCTTTAATTCACACCCCACACTCAATCCACTGAGCTAGACCAGCCAGGGCTCACATCTTTTATTTTAATATTATTTTTGTACTCTTGTTTCTGTATAATCTTCGTTGCTTGGCTGGTAATATTGTATCATTTGACAGGTTTCCCCTGTTCTCTCTGACATAGTGTATTGGTAATTTACCATCCTTCATGTCACTTGTGTTCCTTTAGCACACTACTCAAGGTCCTATACTCCCTACTCTTGTTATTCAGATAACATAGAGATTCTATCATATGATTGTTGCTCTAATATTATTGTAAATAATGGTTGTTTCAAACAATTGTAAATACTTAACAAAACTCCTCCCAGATCTTAGCTCACTTCTCAGTTTCCTAAACTCTATTACGGTAGTGGTTAACTCTCTTCTCTCACACACTACACTTTTCTATCCTTTACTCTCAACCTAAGACAAAATCTGACCTTCCACAACATCACTGTTTTCTAGATCCAACTCACAATCCTTCCCTCCCTAACAACAAGAGTCTTATTTACATTCCATCCTTTCTAAATACTGGCCAGCTGGGTGGAAGATCACAGTTAACACTATACATAGCCAAAGGATCTCCTATATCTTCTCTACTGGCTGCTACTGTAAATATCATAGAATACTCTCTTGCTGTCTTAAACCATTTTTCCTTACCCATCTAACTAATCAAAAAAGAGTAGGTGGAAACTGTGAACACCAGGAGACCTGAAGGAGACTGCACCACTGAATCTCACAGGTATTCTACCACAGAAGTTCACACCATAAACCGAGGGAGCCTGAACAAGTCAACTTAAGATGCAGAGGTTAACAAGAAAAGTCTCATGAACAATGAGAAGAGAAACAAACAATCCCCAAAAGAAAGGAGAGGAAGAAGCCTCAAAAAGAATGCTAAATGCAGCTCTGGCTGGCATAGCTCAATGGATTGAGCATGGGCTGTGAACCAAAGTATATCAGGTTCAATTCCCAGTGAGGGCATATGCCTGGGTTGCAGGCCACAATCCCCAGCAACCACATATTGGTATTTCTCTCTCTCCCTCTCTCCCTCCCTTCCCTCTCTAAAAAGAAATAAATAAATACTTTTAAAAAAGAATGCTAAATGCAATAGAGGCAACTCAAATCTCAGATATTGAATTCAAAGCAATGATTATCAGGAAGCTCAATGAACTCACAATGAGCTACCAGAAACTACAGGGAAGCTACAATGAACTCACTGAAAACTACATCAGCATGAAAAAGGAAATACAAACTCTCAACAAGGGCCAAGAGGAAATGAAGAATACAATTTCTGAACTGAAGAACACAGTAGAAGGAATGAAAAGCAGGATGAAAGAAGCAGAAGTTCGGATCAGTGATTTAGAGGACACAGTACAAAAAAACAGGCAGTAAGAGCAAGAAAAGGAAAAGAGGCTCAGGAAAAATGTCGAGGGATTAAGAGAAAGTCAAGATAATATGAAATGTAATAATATCCATATAATACAAACACCAGAAGGAGGAGAAGAAGAGCAAAGAATAGAAAACCAGTCTGAAAAAATAATGATGGAAAACTTCCCCAATTTGATGAGAGAAAAAGTCACACACATCCAGGAAACACAGAGAGTCCCAATCAAGAGGAACTCAAAGAGGGTCACTTCAAGACATATCATAAATAAAATGGAAAAATACGAAGACAAATAGAGAATCTTAAAAGCAGCAAGGAAGGAACAGTAAGTAACATACAAGAGAACCCCAATAAGGTTATCAGCTGACTTCTCAATGGAAACACTCCAAGCCAGAAGAGAATGGCAAGAAATATTCCAAGTAATGAGAACCAGAGGTCTGCAACCAAGGCTACTTTATCCAGAAAGACTCTCAATCAAGATAGAAGGCCAAATAAGAAGCTTCCCAGATAAAAAAAAGTCTAAAAGAATACACCTCCAACAAACCTGCTCTGCAAGAGATGCTAAAGGGTCTACTTTAAGAAAAAGATGGAAGAGAGAGAGAGAGAGAGAGAGAGAGAGAGAGAGAGAGAGAGAGAGAGGTGGGGGGAAACACAGTTAAGAAAATGGTAATAAATAAGTACCTATCAGTAATAACCTTAAACATAAATGGATTAAATGCTCCAATGAAAAGACATAGAATAGCTGAATGGACAAGAGAGAATGAACCACACATATGCTGTCTACAAGAGACACACCTTATGATAAAAGATATACACAGACTAAAATTGAAGGGATGGAAACAAATCTTCCAAGAAAATGGACAGGAAAAGAAACCCGGGGTAGCAGTAATTACATCAGACAAAACACACTTCCAAAAAGGGCCATAAAGAGAGACCCAGAAGGTCACTTCATAATACTAAAGGGAAGAATCCACCAAAAAAAACAAACACTGTAAATATGTATGTACCCAACATAGGAGCACCCAAATCCTTAAGAAAATCTTAGAAGACTTCAGGAAAGATATTGAGAGCAAAACAATTATACCGGGGGTGCTCGCTTTGGCGGCACATATACTAAAATTGGAACAATACAGAGATTAGCATGGCCCCTGCGCAAGGATGATATGCAAATTCGTGAAACGTTCCATATGTTTTTCAAGGTGGATAAAAGACTTAAATATAAAACATGACACCATTAAAGTCCTAGAGGAGAATGTAGGTAGGAAAATCTCAGATATTTCATGAAGAAACTTTTTTACTGACTTGTCCCCTAGAGCAAGGGACATAAAGGAAAGAATAAACAAATGGGACCTCATCAAAATAAAAAGCTTCTGCACAGCTAAAGAAAACAGTATCAAAATTAAAAGAGAACTAACTGTATGGGAAAACGTATTTGCCAATGATACCTCAGACAAGGGTTTAATCTCCAACATATATAAAGAACTTACAAGACTGCACTCTAAGAAGACAAGGAATCCAATTAAAAAGTGGGCAAAGGACTTGAACAGACACTTCTCCAAGGAGGACATACGGAAAATCCAAAGACACATGAAACAATGTTCAATATCACTAGCTATCAGAGAGATGCAAATTAAAACCACAATGAGATACCACTTCACACCAGACAGAATGGCCATCATAAACAAAGCAACAAACAACAAGTGTTGGAGAGGTTGTGGAGAAAAGGGGCCCCCAGTGCACTGCTGGTGGGACTGCAGACTGGTACAACCACTATGGAAAGCAGTATGGAACTTCCTCAGAAAACTAAAAATGGATCTGCCTTTTGACCCTGCAATTCCACTGCTGGGACTCTATCCTAAGAACACTAAACAACCAATTCAAAAAAACCTATGCATCCCAATGTTCATAGTAGCACAATTTACAATAGCTAGATACTGGAAGCAACCAAGATGCCCATTAGTAAATGAATGGATCAAAAAACTATGGTACATTTACACAATGGAATTCTATGCAGCAGGAAGAAAGAAGGAGCTCCTACCCTTTGCTACAGCGTGCATGGAGCTGGGAAACATTATGCTTAGCGAAACAAGCCAGGCAGTGAAAGACAAATACCATATGATCTCACTTTTAATAGGATCCTAAATAACAAAACAAAGAAACAAGCAAAATATAACCAAAGACACTGAAATAGAGGACAGGCTGACGGTGACTGGAGGGGAGAGAAGAGGGAATTTAAGGGGACAGTGGGAAGGGTTCACAGGAACAAACTTAAAGGACACATGGTCATAAACTAAGGGGAGGGTGGTAATGGGAGGGAAGTGGGGAGGGTGAGAGGGGGGACTGGATTGGGAGTGAAAAGGAGAAAACTGTATTTAAACAATGATTAAAATAAAAAAAAACAATTATACTGGGGAATTTTAGCACCTCACTATTACAAATAGATCTTCCAAACAAAATATCAACAAAGATATTGTGTCATTGAACAATGCTCTAGAGCAAATGGACTTAACTGGTATATACAGAGCCCTCCATCCCAAAGAAGTTGAATACACATTCTTTTCAAAAACACCTGGAACATTTTCAAAGATAGACCACATGATAGGACACAAAGCAAACCTCAACAACTCCAAGAAAACTGAAATCATACCAAACATTTTCCAGGATCACAGGGGACTGAAACTACAAACCAAGCCCAAGGAAAAAAACCCAAATCACTCAAAATCATGGAGATTAAATAGCATGCTATTAAACAATGAATGGGTAATAATCAAAATTAGAGGAGAAATCAAAATGTTTCTACAAAATAAATGGAAATTAACTCACAACAACCCAAAATTTATGGCGCACAGCAAAGGCAGTCCTGGAAAGGAAGTTCATAGTGATACAGGCATACCTAAAAAAAAAAAAAAAAGAAACATTTCAAACAAACGACCTAACCCTATGATTACAAGAACTCAAGGAACAACAAAGACACTCCAGAGCAAGCAGAAGGAAGGAAATAACCAAGATCAGGGCAGAATTAAATGACATACAGACTAAAAGCACAATTCTAACTATCAATGAATCCAGGAGCTGGTTCTTTAAAAAGATAAACAAAATTGACAAGCCTTTAAACAGGCTCATCAAGAAAAGAAAGACAGAAGACCCAAATAAACACAATAAAAAATGAAACAGGAGAGATTACAACAGAAAACACAGAAATACAAAGGATTGTAAAAAATTACTACACAGAACTGTAGGCCAAGAAATTTGAAAACCTAGGTGAAATGGACAAATTTATAGAAAAATATAATTTTCAAAAACTCAATGAAAAAGAAGCAGAAAGCCTGAACAGACCAATAACAACAAAAGAAATTGAAGCAGTAATAAAAAAACTATCAACACACAAAAGCCCTGGGCCAGATGGTTTCACAGGAGAATTCTACAAAGCATTTAAGGAAGAGCTAACCCCTATCCTTCACAGACTATGCCCAAAAATCCAAAAATATGGGAGACTCCCAAAGTCTTTTTATGAAGCCAGCATCATCCTAATCCCAAAACCAGATAAAGACACAACAAAGAAAGAAAACTTCAGGCCAATATCACTGATGAACATTGACGCTAAAATCCACAACAAAATATTGGCACACCGCATCCAACAATACATTAAAAAGATCATACACCATGACCAAGTGGGATTCATTCCAGGGATGCAAGGATGGTTCAATATTCACAAATCAGTAAATGTAATACATCACATAAACAGAAGCAAAGACAAAAATCACATGATCATATCAATACATGTGGAAAATACATGTTGGCTGAGTGTAAAAACACTCAGCAAAGTGGGAATAGAGGGAGCATTCCTCAACACAATAAAGGGCATATATGAGAGACCTACAGCTAACATCACACTCAATGGCTGAAAACTAAAATCTTTTCCATTAAGATCGGGAACAAGGCAAGGTTGTCCGCTTTCACTACTTTTATTCAATGTACTATTGGAAGTTTTAGCCACAGATATCAGAAAAGAAAAGGAAATAAAAGGCATCCAAATTGGAAAGGAGGAAACAAAACTGTCATTGTTTGCAGGTGACATGATAGTGTATGTAGAAAATCCTATAGAGTCTGCCAAAAAACTGCATGACCTAATAAACAAATTTGGCAAAACAGCAGGAAACAAACTCAATATGCAGAAATCAAAGGCATTTTTGTATACAAACAATGAAACAGCAGAAGCAGAAATCAAGAAAAAAAATCCCATTTGATATAGCAAAAATGAAAATAAAATACCTAGGAATAAACCTAACAAGGAAGTAAAAAACTGTATGCAGAAAACTACACAACACTGAAGAAAGAAGTCAAGGAAGACACAAACAAATGGAAACATATACCATGTTCATAGATTGGAAGAATTAACATCATTAAAATGTCCATACTACACAAAGCAATTTACATATTCAATGCAATACCTATTAAAGTACCAATGGCATATTTCACAGACATAGAAAGAACATTTCAAAAATTTATATGGAACCATAAATGACCTCTAATAGCTGTGGCAATTTTAAGAAAGAATATCAGAGTAGGAGGGATCACTATACCTGATACCAAACTGTATTACAAGGCCACTGTAATCAAAACAGCCTGGTACTGACATAAAAACAGGCACATAGACCAATGGAACAGAACAGGGAGCCCAGAAATAAACCCAAATCTCTATGGTCAATTATTATTTGACAAAGAAGGCAGCAACATAAAATGGAATAAAAATAGCCTCTTAAACAAATGGTGTTGGTAGAACTGGACAGCCACGTGTAAAAAAATGAAACTCGAGAACCAACTTACACCATATACAAAAATAAATTCAAGGTGGATAAGAGATTTAAATATGATCTGCAACACCATTAAAGTCCTAGAGGAGAACATAGGCAGGACAATCTCAGATATTTGAAGCAGCAACATTTTTATTGATATGTTCATTAGAGAAGGGACATAAAGGAGAGAATAAACAAATGGGATCTCATCAAAACAAAAAGCTTCTGCATGGCTAAAGAAAACACTACTAAAATAAAAAGAGAACCAACTGTATGGGAAAACATATTTGCCAAAGATACCTCAAACAACGGTTTAATCTCTAAAATATACGAAGAACTTACACAACTCCACTCTAAGAAGACAAGCAATCCAATTAGAAAATGGGCAAGGGACTTGAACAGACACTTCCCCAAGGTGGACATACAGAGGATCCAGAGACACATGAAAAGTTGCTCAATATCGCTAGCTATCAGAGAGATGCAAATTAAAACCACAGTGAGATACCACTTCACACCAGTCACAATGGCCATCATAAACAAAGCAACAAACAACAAGTGTTGGAGAGGTTGTGGAGAAAAGGGGTCCCTGCTGCACTGTTGGTGGGATTGCAGACTGGTACAACCACTATGGAAAGCAGTATGGAACTTCCTCAGAAGACTGAAAATGGATCTGCCTTTTGACCCAGCAATTCAACTGCTGGGATTATATCATAAGAAACCTGAAACACCAATCCAAAAGAACCTATGCACCCCAATGTTCATAGCAGCACAATTTACAGTGTCAAAGTGCTGGAAGCCACCTAGGTGCCAATCAGTAATGAATGGTTCAAAAAACTATGGTACATTTACGCAATGGAATTCTGTGCAACATAAGGAAAGAAGGAGCTCCTACACTTTACAACAGCATGGATGCAACTGGAAAGCATTATGCTAAACAAAATAAGCCAGGCAGTGAAAGACAAATACCATATGATCTCACATTTAACAGGAACCTAAACAACAAAACAAAGAAACAAGCAAAATATAACCAAAGACACTGAAATAGAGAACAGGCTGACAGTGACCAGAGGGGAGAGGAGAGGGAATTTCACGGGAACTTCAGGGACAAAGGGGAAGAGTTTACAGGAATAAGTATAAAGGACACATGGACAAAAACTAGGCTGGGGGAGGGGCTGGGTGGGTAGGCCGGTATGGGAGTAAAAGATAGAAAATTGTACTTGAACAATAATTAAAGTAAAATTTTAAAAATGAAAAATATGTAAAATAAAAGACAAAACTTTATGACACTTAAGATTTTTAATTTAATTTTATTTATTTTAATTGTTGTTCAAGTACAGTGTTCAGCCTTTTATTCTCAGCCCAGCCCACCCCACCAACCCTCCTCACCCCCCTCCCTT